TTGCCAAGCTCTGGGTGTCTGTCAGGCCTGTTTCCACCACCCAGAAATCTCAGTGCTTCTGTTCTCAGTATTTCTGAAAATGCATATCCAGAAAACGGCTCCCCGCACCCCCCGTTTCTGCCCCTTCGGCACCTCTGCTCACTCAGTGGTTGCTTTCTTTAGCAGCTGCATGGATCCCACATCCACATGCATTGGCTGCAGAAAGAGCTCCATCCTGGGATGCCGGAGGTGTTCGGCATCGCAGCTCTCTGGACCTGCTCTGTTCCCTATCACCACGGGCTGTCACAACAGGCATGATAGCGGAGGGGCAAACTGTTCACTGCCTGCCTCGGACTTTGCTGATTAAATAGCTCTCTGTCACTTTCCAGGCTTAGGGCTTCCTGCATTGCACAGGAAGCAGCTGTTTAGACATGCCTTTTATATTCATTTTAAAATGTGGCCTTAAAAATTCTGGTTGGTAGAATTCATTGAGTTGCTTCTCTTTGAATTTCCCTTTGATTTTGTTGTAGACTTCTTAAAAAAAAAAAAATCCCCTTCCTGCTGTCCTTCGAGTAAGTTGCTCTATTCAGCTATTTTATTTCCTAAACATAAAAAAAACATGTCAAGACACGTAGTCTGTGAGATTCTTCCCAGCTGGAAGCAAGTACTCAGATCGGTGTCATTCAGAAGGTGAGATTTGCTTTTGTTGTGCTTTTGAAAGCCTAGGAGTGTTCCAAACCATCCTCTATACCATGTAGCCACCGTTTAGCAATAAAAAAGCAGTTTGCGATAATCGATCAGGCTTGCGAAGACAGTCCTGTGCTGATGTGTGCATATTCTACCCATTGGCAAAGGGACGCGCTTTATTAAAATTTCTTGTAATTAGCGGTGTGCTGATTGTGCTTTCCATAGTGACAGCGTAGTGGGGGACAGTCAAGTCCACGTCCCCCCGCACTCGACACCTTGCAGTCCGGCTTTGAGCTTTACTTTTTAAATTATTTTTTATTTTATTTATCAAATATTAAGTGTACAGATTAATGGTTTCACTCCATTCGTCAATAAGCTGTGCATTGCACAGATTCGCCCGCTCTTGTGCAACATGGAACCACCCCTATTCTCCCGTCACCCTTCCCTGTCTCTAAAACTCCCTCTCAATCTTTCCCGTCCCCCTGCCTTCCCATCCACTCAACAGCTGTCTACGAGGCTGACTTCTTGGTTCCCATACATAAACGAGAAGTTGTATCTTGCTCATCTCCATTCTTTGACTCAACACACCTCTAGCCATCCCATCTTTCCCACACCCGGATAGTATTCGATTGTGTAACTTACTGATTTTCTTTACCCATCCATTTATTATAAGGCACCTAGGGTAATTCTATATTTTGGATATTATGAATAGACCTGCAATGATCTTGGGGGTGCAAGTCCTTCTTAGATATAAATAGTTCGTCTCAGACCACGTGGTACTTCTACTTTCATGAGGAGGCTCCTTTTGTTTGTTTGTTTGCTTTCCGTGATGACTATACTACTGTCCGTTCTCACCAGGAGTGTGTAAGAGTTTCCATTATTTCTTATATTTTTAGAATAACCATTCTAACAGGAATGAGATGGTCTTTTAACTGCGGTTATTTTTGTTGTGTTGTTAAGAATCAAACCCAAGCCTAGGACATCCTAGGCAAATGCTTTAGTGCAGAGCTGTGTCTGGAGCCCTCGTTCTGTTTCTTTGCGTAAGGACAAAGTTTCATTCTGCAACGTAGGCTGACCTAGGATTTGCCTGGCTGAACTCGAACTTGTGATTCTTCTGCCTTAGCTGTGCGTGTGCTGGGATTACAGGCTTGAGCCAACATACGGCACTCATTGGAGTTAGATTTGCATTTCTCCTATGATTAGTGAAATTATCATTAGCTTTTGTCATGTGCTTGTTGGCTATCTGTATGTGTCATTTTAAGAAGCATCCATATAGTTCTTTAGCCTGTCTTAAAATTAGATTGCTTGGCTTTTTGATGTTTGTTTTTTCGGTTCCTTCTGTATTCTGAATGTCAGTGTGCAGCGTTCCATTTGCAGGTTCCTTCCCTCAACAGAAGGTCATCTCTCCATCCTGTCGTCTGCTTTGTTGTGCTGGCATTTCTCATTTTCGTGTGAACTCATTTTGTTTATTTTAACTTTCGTTGTCTGCGTACTTAGATTACGATCAAATTTCTTTTCTTGCCTACACTAATGACTTAAAGAATTTCCCTTGTTTTCATGTAGTCATTTCATGGTTTCAGGCTTAAGAGTTAGACTTTTTTTCCATTTTGAATTAGGTTTTCTCTGTGTTGAGAGAAAAGGATCCAGTTTTATTCTTTATATAAGCATGCCCAATTTTGTCAACTATTTATGGAGAGACTACCTTTTTTCCACTATTACATTCCTATCACCTTTGTCAAAACTATTTGTGGGGAGCCCTGAGTTCTAGGCATAGCAACACAGAGATACAGAGAGGGGATATATATATATATATATGTGTATATATATATATATATATATATATATATAGAGAGAGAGAGAGAGAGAGAGAGAGAGAGAGAGAGAGAGAGAGAGAGAGCTACACACATTGTTAGGATCATTCCTGTCTAAGAGCGGACCTTTAATGTCTTGGTGGGAATAAACAAACCCATACTAATGATTGAGACCTATGTAACCAAATTTGACAGTGAATAGCAACAACGATGGGATGAACAGGTTCTAGTCACACCACCTGTGAAACCATGGAGCTGGGTAGAGCGGAGAGGGGCCCTTCGGTGAGCACTGCGCACTGTCCTCTTTCCAGCTATGTCCTTAGGGTCAGTCTGTGGTGCTTTGGGACTGAAGTCATTGTCGTTCTGTTCAAGTCGTCACTGCAGAAACACGGGCTCTATCAGAGCATGGAGGATGGGTCTCAGGTCTCGTGACTGGCTGAGCTCTGTGCTAACCATGGGTGGAGAGGTTTTTGAAGGCAAGGGAGAGTTCTTTGGTGTACTTAGTGGGAAGTGACATTTACAGTGAGGGTTTCTGGCAACCAAAGCTTTAGGTACTAGGTGTTCCGTATCTGTGACCCACAGCATCCTCTTTACCTGTTTTATTTCACCCACCATTTCCTCTTCCTAATAAGTTCAGCAAGTCTTTCCAGACCGCTTTGTAAGTAGAGAATGTTAAGCCCCAGCCCCAGACTTTATTTTCTTGATCTCTACATAGTTCTGAATTAGTCTAGGTGTAACATGGATTATTAAGGGTTTGGGTACTTCAAGCCCCACCTCTCCAACAATGGTACATATGACTCCCAAGCACAGGGTAAGGTCAGAACTCTTTGCCACTGAATTGCCCATACATCCTGGAACAAAATAAATGCTGAGCAAATATTGTATGAATGAGTGAAAATCATATTGATAAGTGTTCTTGGTGAGCATTTTTCTGTGTAAGTTGACCTGGTTGAGTCTTCTCAAACCAAGGCAGTGTGGACTGAAGTCACTAGCTTTCAAAATCCCATGATAAGGGCCTTCAAATTCCTTTCCAGTTAGGCACAAATTTGTCTGCAACGGTTGATTCAGTGAGCATTTAATAGTAGACTTGGGGAATCTGATCAGTGGGAGAGAGTATATGTTTAGCTTTCCTGAGTTCATGGGTTCAACCCTCAGCATCAAAACTAAAAAGTAAACACTGGTGATGAGATAGTTCACATAGTAATGACAGCTTCAAGCATCCTTTGCTCCAAGCGCTGAGGAGAATGAATGAGCTGGGACACTACCAACTCAAGTTTTCTTGTTACCAGCAATGTCAATGCTGGTGGCAGTAACTATGCATTTGGCTTACTACTGGAAGTTCTTATTTTGGTAAAATGAGTTCATAGAAGCAGGGGGAATGTGGTGAAGGTGGTCTGAGAAGGCTGGCTCGGCACCCTCGCTTCTGCGGGGTGTACCAGCATGTCACTCTAGAACAGCTTTCTCTTGGTGAGGCACCGAGGTCCTCTGTCTTTCTCACTGAGGAGCCTATGCATTGGGTTTACCCTCAATTTTTTTTCCCAGTCACCCTGGGAACCATTCTACCCTTTGGGGAACAAAACTGCTTCCCATTTTCAGGTAAATGTTGAGCAAAGTTCTTACATAAACATGGACATCAGCTGCTGCTTGTGTGGTCCCTCCTTCCCCAGTTAAACTATCTTCTTCTTAACCATATCACAAAGCAATCAGATGGCTGCAGCCATCATGGTTGTATGTTCTCTAATATCCATCCCCAACTTTCTTTCCTTATTGTTTTATCATGAGACAGATAAACTAATTTCCATGAGCATTCTGAAAATGAACTATGTACTTGTTATTACCTTCAACACAGTTGCTATAATATTTATTTCAAGGGCATGCTCATGGCTTTAGTCACTTTCAGAACTCCTTTTTCAACATCATCATTAATTTGTTTCTTTTGTGTTTTGAAATTGGTGGAATTCAGCTGTATAGGAATATATGGACAAAAATGTGAATAGGTGTGTGTTTTCTCATTATTCAGTACTGGCATGTTTGCCTCATTTTTTTTTTCTCTTTAAATCAGGAAATGTCTGTCGTAGGGTTTCTATTGCTGTGAAGAGACACCATAACCATAGCAACTCTTACAAGGAAAACGTTCATTTGGGTTTTCTTGCTTACAGTATTAAAGGTTCAGTCCATTATCATCACCGAGGGGAGCATAGTGCTGTGCAGGCAGACATGGTACTGCTTACATCTTGATGAAGCTGACTGAGACACTTGGCGGTATCTTGAGGATAGGAAACCTCAAAGCCTGTCCCCACAGTGACACACTTCCTCCAACAAGGCCATGCCCACTCCATCAAAGCCACACCTCCTAATAGTACCACTCCTTGTGAGATTTTGGGGGCCGATTACATTGAAACTACCATAAGATCCTAATATTTAATAGTTGCTATTATATATAAGGAATGCTACTTCTGCCTTAAGTGGGGTTTTCAGTCAAGCCTACAGTGGAAATATGATGGAATTTCTTGTACTCTGCAGGAAATGTTTGATGTTATATTAGATGAGAATCAGCTGGAGGATGCGTGTGAGCATCTGGGCGAGTACTTGGAGGCATACTGGCGTGCCACCCACACAAGCAGTAGCACCCCCATGACCCCATTGCTGGGGAGGAATGTGGGCTCCACAGCCCTTTCACCATATCCCACAGCGATCTCTGGATTACAGGTACTGCATTGTTCTGTTTGTTCGTTTTATAACTTTTGCCACTTTATTTTTAGGATTGAATATATAATTAATTAAGATGAAGACTCTGATTGTTCTTAATCTGAAGAAGCATGAGAGAAGGACATAGTATTTTTGTTCATTTGTTTTAGAGACAGGTTTCTCTGTGTTGCTTTGGAGCCAGTCCTGGAACTAGCTCTTGTAGATCAGGCTGGCCTCGAACTCACAGAGATCCACCTGCCTCTGCCTCCTGAGTGCTGCCCGGCAAGGTCATAGTATTTTTTAAAACACTGAAGACTGGAAAGATGGGTCAGCAGTTAAAAATGTTTTCTGCTCTCGCAGAGGACCCTGGTTCAGTTCCCAACACCAACATAGTAGCTCATAACCATCTGTAACTCCAGTTCCAGGAGATCTGACCTCCACGGGCACCTGGCACACATGTAGTGCCCAGACATGCATGCAGGCTAAATGTTTATACTTATAAAATAAATAGACCTTAAAATTTGTTTTAATTAAAGAAGAAGTCTAACCCTTATGCTGATACTGACCTGTCACTGACAAAGCCTGACCTCTCCACCAGTTTCCCATTCTGGAATATATCGCTATGAATTGATAACGGGTTTTACTTAGATCAGTTCATCTCTAGTAGACTTAATGTCTAGTCAACATAATTGTTCACAACTTCCGCATGGCACCCCAGACAGCTAAGCAGATTCTTTAGGATTGACAGGCCTTTAGCTGCCCGTAACTATTCTTGTCCCACAGACTGCTGACCCTGCCTCCCCCAGCACCTTGTACAAACAGAGTGAGTGAGCAGATTTGGAGATGGTGACAGATCCTCAGTTTCCAGGGGGATCTAGGGGACTGTGTTGGTCAGTGTAGGGAATCGGGGGGGTGGGGGTAAGCACAAAGAGGGTCCAAGCTCGTCTCTTCTGCTGCTCTGAGACTTCAGTCAGAACTAGATGTGGCATGCCAGAGGCACTGTGATATAAAATGAGTCCTGCCTTTCTGCATTAATTATTATTTACCATTTATCAAAGAGCTGGAATGGATCCAGACCCCAAGCTGAGGAACATGCAGTCAAATGAGCCTCTTGGCGACATGACTGGTTTTGTTTTAATGGGTTATAATGATAGTCATAATTGAAGATTTTGTAGAGTTAACTCTAAGCTAAATGGCACTCTCTGAAATGCTGTTATAACTACATTACTCCACTGCAGACAGCGCCTCTGTAAGCAGGAAAGCTGCCATACAAATGCATTTCTTTTAAGCCTAGAAATGATGTGGAAGATGGATGGTGGTAGTGTTCAGAGTGTCTGCATGCACCAGCACGATTTCTTGCCTTGTTTTCCTTCTGTGTGCCTGTCTGACTGTAGCATTCCCATTGACGTTGGCTGGCTCTGGATGACAATAAAGGGAACAGATGTATGACCCAGTACACTCTGTAGTGTTGGGGGATCTAATGCTGCGCTTTGTGTATAACACTTAACCCTGCAACTGTCTACCTACAGTAGCTCTCGCTGCAGCATTGGTGAGTTAACGTGGTGCTCTTTATCCTGTGGACTACTTCTCCAAGGAACACAGGTGTTTGATGGCATGATCTCTGACCCACTGAATAAGTTCCCTGCTGTATGAAGCTGATGTACCTGGGCCCTTGGTTACATCAGGTTCCTGCTCTATTATCTATGTGACTTACCTAAGCTGGTAGACACAAACAGACAGGTGTTCCTAATATAAGAGAAAAAAAAGTCAGATAACATATTCTGGGCCTTCAAATAACTCCCTTAAGATGTTAATTTCAGTTGACAATATTAAAAGAATTTGGTTTATATCTGAAGATGATTTTTGCAGAATTCAGTTAAGAAAGCAAGAGTATGTAAAGTCCTGAATTAGCTGGCCCCACGAGGCTGTGCATTCCTTTGGAAAAAATCTTGTTGAGAGTTTCACATCCATGTCAGATACAGAAACAAGTGCACTGTTTAGTGGGTAGTACAGATAGTAATTTTTTAGGCTATAGGATCATCAATCTAGAGCAAAATGAAGTAAATGTAAAGTGTGTGACTTTAAGAAGAAGGAAGACTTTTATGAATTCATGAAAGGAATCAAATAATAGATCTTATCTAAATTTTATTCCCCAGTAATAAAATAATCCTCATTTTTTTGCAATAGAAGGAGAGAATTATTAAGTATTAAGCCTATCTAAGTAGATTTATTTAAGAATCACCTTTCAGTTCTGTGTTTCAACAGGAAGTATAGCCATGCGGCATTATATACTAACATTCGTAAACTATCCGTAATAAAGCGGCTATAGATGGTGCATCCCAAAGAAGAAGACCAGGAGCTCCAAGCAGAACATTTATGTATCAAAATGCTTTATTTATTAGGTCAGATATTTAATATCCGTTTTACAGAGCCTGTTACTGCACATGAATGAACATGTTCAGGTGAATGAAGTGGACCTTACCTAACCAGTGAACTGTCTGATATTTGTAGAGTCAGCGAATGAGGCACAGCAACCATTCTACGGAGAATTCTCCCATTGAGAGACGAAGCCTAATGACCTCTGATGAAAATTACCACAACGAGAGGGCTCGTAAGAGTAGGAACCGCTTGTCCTCCAGCTCCCAGCACAGCCGAGACCATTACCCTCTGGTGGAAGAAGATTACCCCGACACGTACCAGGACCCTTACAAGCCCCATAGGAACCGAGGCTCGCCTGGGGGATACAGCCATGACTCCCGACACAGGCTTTGAGGCTGCCGGAACAAACAAACAAAACTACTCATCTGTTGACAATTTGCCATAGCACTGCTAGGATAAATCAATCATCTTAATTTGGCAAGCACAGCACAGCATCTGCTGTGCGGTGGGCTGCGGTCATTTGATCTAAGGGGCAAGAATTAAATAGAAATACTTTATGCCCTTGAGTCTAGATGGGTATTCGATGCCCAGTCATATAGGTATTTTTAAGTGCTACATTTACATGATAACAGTACCTTTTGTTTTCTTCATAGATTTTAGACACATCAATTTGTAATTTAGGGTACTTATCAAGGCACATATAAAATAATTTCCCGTGTAGGAAATTCCAAATGACCAGTTCCAGTTGGAACCAATTTATAAACCAATTCCTGTTGGAATTTGGGAGAATTGACTGGAAAGTCTACTTGAGCATGTTGAAATCAATTGAAAAATCAGAAAAAAAAAACCCAATAAGAAAATCAAAATATTAATAGAAACCCAAAACCAGCTGTGGTATTTATTTGCTGAAAGCTAAATTTCTACTTCAAGTTGGAAAGTGTAAACATTTTAATAATATGTTAATGTTGCCAGAATGGCTTTTCAACCTTACCAAATGTATTGATAGTGCCAAAAATCTCAGAAATCTTAATGCAGAAATTATATAATCGCCTCAGATTCTAATATTTTTATTTTTCCTGATACAGCTGTCGTATTCCAAGTTATTTTGCTTTCTGTTCAGTCAGTACTGTTAGTCAGTTCGAAGCTAACAAAATAAGGGGGAAAGGAGTTTATTGGCAATGAGAATAAGAAAGAGAAACCCAGGCATGGCTAGTTACAGGACATGGGAAATGAGGTGCTGTTTCTCCTGTAATCAGTCTGTGTACAACTACACACATCTGGAGATCTGAAGTCAGATAGCAGAGATGTGGCCAGGCCTTCCTGGGACAAAGGCAGTCGGCTCCAGATGGGAAGTCATCTGTGCCACCACACCCAACCCTGGCACAGGAGTTCTGCCAGCATAGCTCAGTGTCCTTCCCTGACTACATTCAGTATCTGTCTTTGACTATAAATAATGTTTTAGGAATACACCACAGTTTTTAAATCAAACTAACAACCTTTTTTTGTTTGTTTTTCATGGACATAATCAAATTTGGTACTGAAAGTTACGTTTTCGCAAGAAAAACTAATTGGGAAAAGTTAAAACACTGAATTAAAATCTTGCAGGAAGTAAGGCACTTTTAACGTGGGGCCCTAGAGAATTTGGGGACTGCTGTGTTTCAGTGCTAGTGAACAGCCTTTAGATTTCCAATGAGTGTATATTTGGAATTGGTGACCCATATCCTAAAGATTAAAGAAGACTTTAATCCAAGAAATTATTGAAATTGACTCTTTTATACAAGAAACAAATGTCTTTATGAAAGGACTTGTTTCTAAAATGACACAATGCATGTGTTTTCTAAAACCCCAACTGAAGCTAGACATAAAGGTCTCTTTCTACTAACAAATGCCTTCAAGTCAATGTTTTGAAAACAAGTACAATTAACTTTATATTGTTATTTTCTTCCAAAATTTCAAGACCTGGGCCCTCAAAGCCATGTATCAGTTCATTCATTTTCCTGATTGAGAGAAAACGTTTCCTATTCTTGACCAGTTGTTCATATCTCTAGTCCCCTCGACCTCATGTGCCCTCCCCTCGTCTTGACTGTATGTGCACCCCGTCATGTACCTGCTCACCTGATAATGAGGCTGCCCGAGATCTTGTAAGTAATCTCACACATTTGAGACATTTGAACATGGCCTCAGTCAAATATACAAGCTGACATCTGATCCCGGCTTGCCATCTCTTTTGTCATCTAGCGAAGCTTACAGAATTTTCTGTTAAGACATTTAAGAGAGCTGTATTCATTGGGCTCTTTATTAAGCATATAATCTTCCATTACTGAATACTTTGTTAGAGCACAGAAGAGCAATCTCCAGCAAACAAACTCTATTTATTACATGTATAGCACATATTTGCATGAGAAAGAAAACATTAGCCAAACATTTTCCTGTATGCTTTTACTGGTTTCTTGTTTGTGTGCATAAAAGCATTCAATTGCGGAGAGTACACTCGGGTGTATAAATTTAGAATAGACTGCTGTTCAGCTTTTTCTGCAGTAGCATTAGCAATTTGGTCATTTAACTACTTTAAGATATTTATATTTTATGGCAGGTAGCTGTAACAGCACTTACATATACTTCCTAGTGAACAAAGGTACCATTTCTTTCAACTTTGAAGATTCACTTGTTTTTCAAACCTCTCCAGCTTTTCTTTTTCCCCTTTTTGCTCTTCCATGTCATGCTGAAAGAGGGAGGCCCATTTAATCTGTACACAAAACTCATCCATCATTAGCCATCAAAAGTTCATACCTAGTTTGCTTTGCAGTCCTGTCCAAAAGCTAATAACATTTAAAAGGGTAAAATGTATCTTTTTGATGGATGTATTTACTATTTCATTTTAATTTGGCATATCTTTCATCTTCCTCCTCTAAGTTTCTCTCCTCCAAAAGAAGAAGAGATATGACTCTTACTTTCCTTTTAAATGCTCAGAGTTGCTTGTGTAAATGACAGAAATCCAAATATATACCAAATAAAAGTTTTACTTTTGTGCAATATACCAAGAACCTCTAAGAAATTCCACAGTTACTTTGTTTTAATTCATTTCACTCAAAATGGCAAATTATGACAAGCAAGAGAACTATTTCTGCATCATTGGAGGCTGTTTTCACTTACAGAATAAATCACGGTAGAATTCTGTGGTTCTTTATGATCAGTAATAATGCAGACTCATCCAGCTATGAGGAACTGTAGTCCTGGGAAAGGAAGAAATGCGCTTTGTGGGTCCTTGTGCTTATTCCCAAGGTTATACTGTTACGCCACCATCATAATCAACACTGTTACCTTGTTTATGCTAACACTTAAAACAAAGCCTAGTAGTGTTTACGATTTGCTCTCATCTCTATATAGCTCTGATGGGGAGATTTGGATTGCTAGCGATTAGAGGCATGGTTGTCCTAAAAAGACTCTGAATTGTGTGGCTATTCAAATCATTGCATTTCATCCTTAATGGAATGAGTTTGAAAGTCTGAAACAAATTGAGACAACAATTAGTTCTACTTTAAATGGTGTGTTATTTACTCCAATTTATTATTGTTGTTTGCAGAAATGTATTTTTGGAATGTTAACCTCTTCATACCTGCATACTTGAACTTGTCTTTTGTGTGGGGGCCTTAAATTTCATAATAGAAGAATGGGGGAAACAAAAGGGGAATGAAGACAAGGAGACTGTGGCAAAAGAAGCTCGCCATCTTCAGCTCTTTAAATGAACAAGATATGGAGACAGTATGTCTCCAAGATATGGAGACAGCATGTTAGTTAAGAATGTTCTAGGCAACCTTAATTTGCAAGCTAGTATATTTTCTTATATAATTTTATTTTGCTATTTGCTAAAAACAGAAGAACACAATACCAACATACAAACTGCCCTATCTCTCTGATGATATGTGCACTACCTCTTCTCTAGAGAAAACAGTCTATCTGTAAAGGGAAACGTCCTGGTTGTAGAGCGCTTGTTCTGACAACTTTGCCGCAGTTGATGCTTAAAGGTGTTGAGATACAGCTGCCCTGTAGATTTACATGGTGTTCAAATGCTTTCACCATGATTTCATTTCCATGTCAGTAAGATTTTCTTGGCATTGATTTATGACTTATCATGACATGAGTTTAAGAAGAAGCCATCCTAGGAAAGAAAGCAAACTGAAAGGAACTAACTCTGTGTGCAAAGGGTGGCCTATAGGTCTGAGGAAGAGAACTTCAGAGACCTGCTGTTTTAAAGGCAGAGCTGGTTGGTCCTCGCCTTGTGTGGGCAAGGAGGGTGTGTTGTAGCCACTTACTGGGTGTGGATCTGCACTGTCTAGAACTCTCATGTAATTAGAACAAAAGTCTTATCAATGTTTCAAATAAATGCTTCTGTAACCCTTATTCCTTTATATTTGCCTTTGTCTTTCATGACAGTGTTACACTTTTTAATTATATAAAACTCATCCTTGAATAACCACGAGTGAAAACTTTACAGGAAATTATGTAACAAAATGTGTTTTATTAGTCCCTTATATCTTTAAACATTGTCAACACTGTAACTGTTATCTAGGCTATCGACTTCAGCTGTGTCTGTGTGGCATCCACCAGTCCTTCTCTTTGAAATCATAATGATGATTAAACCAGTCAACGTAAGAGCTGTTAGGTGGACATAAAGAATAACTTCTTGTTGAGTTGAGAAATCTAGTTAATCGAAATAGCAAAACTAGCTCATTTGGGCAGATAGCCACAGCATTCAGAAATAAATCTTCAAGATTTCTTCTTGTGTTAAAAGAGTCTTTCTCCAATGAAATGCACCCTCTGATAGCAATGTTTTTATCTACTTGTAGATAATTTAATTCCAAATGCTGCATGTCATGAAAGTATATTATGAGGAGATTAGAAAGTATCTCATCGGATAATCTTAATTAAGGGCTGTAGCTCCCACTTGCCATAAATACATATAAATAAGAGGGAACAGTGCTGAGCTTTGGGGAGTTATAATTTTCCATGAATCTTTCTTTTTGGTGGATGTAAAATGTTCACACAGAGAGGGAAGAAAATGTCACCAGTGAATTCAAAATAGTTTAAGGAATACACTGATTCTTCCTCGTTTGAAAGTTGTAAAGAGTTAAAATGGGAGCTGGGAGCTGACAGTAACAGGCCTCTAGCTTTTCAAGCATTCTGAGTTATATTTTGAACACTTCACTCTCCCAACAAATGGCTATATCTATATTTATGCAGGGGCCTTTCTCGCCCTACTCGCATGCCGCCTCACACACTTCACCGAGATCAGTGTGAATTCCGTATGCACAGGGATATTACCGACGCGGGGTCATTAATGCTATATTGTTGCATACTATTTTTTATATGCCTTACAATATTTTCTGGGATGTTATCAAAATGAAAGCATTTTATTGCCAAAACAAACCTATGTTGTTACTTCTGCATTAGCAGTAGAAAAATAATGTAGCAAAAATATATATTGTACAGTACAAAATTATAATATATATATATATATTTTGCCAATAAATGAAAATAGATTGAGGAGAAAGAAGCACATTTGTTATAGCACAAACTTACAACAAAACCCACTGTTAAATTTGGCAGTCCTGTTTTTAGAAGTACGTAGATTTGGTTCTGTGTTTTATCATATTTATTTCATCTCTCATCTTTGCAACTTTGCTGCTTGATGTTTTCCAGCAACTTATTTCATAGCCTTCGATCTGTGAGTGTAATTTACTTATTTTTTCCTTACATAAAACATAGGAATTTTAGTTTGTGTTAAGACTCATACTATATTACTATATTTTCTGTTCTTGTTTCTCCTCCTTTGTTAACAAATGGCACACAGTTGAGCTCACGGCTCCTCTGGGCTTTGGATGTTTGAAAGTTTATGTTTTTCCCAGCCTCAAGTTAGAGATCAGTAAAATGTCCCCATGGAAAAATATTAAGTAGGGGATTTGTTTTGTTTTGTACTTGATACTATTGAAGCATAAGTTAACGCCATTAGCTGTATTTTTTTAAGTGGTGGGAGGGAATAAAAAAATAACATTACTAATAGGAAACATACTAAAAATAATAATGGTGAAATGATATAAAAAGATTCCCCCCTATTCCGAGGGCTGTTGATAATCCCAGGCTATTCCTACGTCTCTGCTGATGTGGTCGGGAAAATGCCTTTGTCAAATAACTTTCCTTTTATTTTGGTTATTTATTTTCATAATTTGTCCCTTTCGTTTTTGTTATATAGGTATGCATAGCGTTCTGCAAGGCATGCTGGGTAAAATACACTATGCAAATGTATGTGCTGCATGCTTTGTTCCTTCTGCTCTAGTGGCTTCCAAGAAAAAAATGTGGTGTTATTTTTGTGAACAAAGACATTTAACAAAGAAAATGCAGAGTGCATGCATACAGTATCCTAATTTCTATGGATTTGTTTTATGGAATTTAAATGTGTACAAAAAACTGCATTCATTTTTTTCTTTTATATAATAAATTAAAAAAAAATACTGAAACCAGCATTCTACCTCTCATTTATATTCTGGAAATGTACAGAGGAAATGCCAGACGCCAGAAAGAATATTCCTGTAGCTTTTAATGGAAAATAAATCTATACATTTACTCTGTAAAGAAAAAAGATTCAATGAAGTGACTATTTCCTGATTATTCTGTTAGATTCTGAGTTACCACAAAAGAATGTTGTAGTGGAAAGGATGTACAAATTGTACATACATGTGGAATATACCAGAAAAAAATGTGTGAAATAAGGCTAGATACAGAAAGTATACTATGTAACCCTTAAGGTTCTCAAGACACCATTGAATGGTTAGTGTGGCAATTGCCAGACGTTTCCAGAATGACAGCTCTGGACTTCTGTGATTGGGGTAGAGATTGCGACTAGACACACGCACATACCCCGGCGTCTGTTGCCTGTGTTCTGTATCAGGATTGGAATTTGACTTTCATCCCACTGTGGTGGACAAGAAGCTCAAGGGAAATATGCAAGACGTTAGTAGAATGAGAATCACCAAATCAGTCCACAAACTTGAGCACATTTAATTCATGTGAGCTCCCTGAAAAACCAGGCAGAGTATAGATTAACAGATCCAGCTACAGTTAAGAAAACCAAAAGCTTAGTGTCACTTCTTTCTTAGAAGTATTTAATGCATGCGTGCGCGCGCACACACACACACACACACACACACACACCAAAGACCCTCCAGCTAAGTAGTAAGCTGAAGCACACAAAGCGGCTTGCAAATACAAGGTGTTGGCTGTGTGAATAATTTTGTTATTGGGGGGCTCTTACCTAAGACCACCCCAACAGTCAGCCGACAATCTGAAACTCCCAACTGGGAAACGACAGCTCCTTGCTGTTGCGTTAACATGGCATATGCTTGAAACTACCTTGCTTGCCTTTAGTACATTTCCACTGGGCTGTAGGGAGAAATCTCGTCTTTTCACATAACATACAAGTCAGCATGGTGAGTTCGCTGTGGACTCTAACCACCGCCTTCCAGCAATAACTAAGTACAAGTTACTCAGCGTCCCTGTGTTCAGATCTGTTACTGTCGTAGCTTTGTTGCATGACCATTAGATTTGCCTTGCAGTTTATTAGTGATGTCCACTTCTTCCTTTGTGAAACATCAAACTTCTTTCAACAGGCAGTTGCTCACTTGGCTAAAGTTTATCCTCAGTCAGGCCCCTTTAAGGCTGGTCTTAGTTGGGGCTTAGACTTAGACTTAGCACCCAGGCATCTACTGAATGTCCTACTTGTGAGTTTTCGCTGACTGAAGGGATCATTATATATTAATGACTCCCAAGCCTTTGAAACAACTATCTGGGGATTATTTTGCAATAATCCTGGTATGTTTCCCCCTAGAAATGGTTACTAATCAACTACCTATACAAGCCATATGGCACCGAAGACTCAATGGTCTCCTAGTTCAATTTCTGTAGATTTTCTTTCTTCCTTCTCTCAGTGACTCTATTTCCTTAATTTCAGCTTTCCTAACTACGGGAACACAGAACAGTGTCTTTGTGGTAAGGGACCATCTTACTCTTATTTGGCTGTCCACCCTCTAGAGTTAGCTGGGAAATGTTTCTGCTAGGGCAGAAATACAATGCACTGATAAAGCTCATGGTTTCTCTTTAGTCAGGGACCACAACCCAGAATCTGTTTTCCAACACCTAGAAACAGCTGTTTTCTTGTGTTGTATCCAGTGCTCTGCTTATTAACAGTAGAATGGTAAAGCAGATGTCTTATGTTCTCATATCTTAAAGCAGAAGTCTTTTGTGGCATTTTGCTCATGACTTAAAAAATTGATAAAATATTTAGGAGGAGAAACAAACACTTTGACATCCTTCATCAAAGTTTTCCAGTTACAGCTACAGTACCAATTTTGTATTTTATCTATTAAAGTTAGTGAAGATGCTACAGCCAAACCCATCTCCCTTTTCTTGTGAGGGGCACTTGGAAAATAGTCTAAGACCGTTTCTGGAATAGAATTTACATCACAAGTAAATATGGGTCTGGCATACATTAATAAGTTGCCAAAGATGTGTGGGAGTTTGTAAAACTGTCTCAAGAGTTGCTAAAGCGTTGCCTACACTGGATGAGAATGGAAATACTAAAGAGTTCATGTAAATCAGTCATGCAAACATCACTTTTTCTAAAAAGCCTACAGGCTATTAAATAAATCCAGATTTAATACTCTAACTGTACAGACTAGTCTAATGATTTTATTCTCCTTTACGAATGTCTCGAAGACTGGGATTTGGACACAAGTGTCTAAAGACGACGAAGCACTCCCTTTTACAGTATATGGTTATGAGGAGTCTGGTGGAAAGGTCCAGGGCTTCATTTCTTGGGGCTGTTGTGGATGAGGTGGTAACAGGAACAGTTCCAGGGGCCTTTCGCAAGTATTCCACGTTTCCCCATCTCTACCTTTTTTCTTCCCTTCTTCCTTTTTAAAAATCAAAGTTAAAGAGAATAGGAAAAGATGAAGCCGCTTCTGCCTTTTGTTTACTTTGTGGAAGAAGTAGACAAGCCCAGTTTCCTCTCTCCTTAGTACTCGGTTTACAGTAGTCAAGACTATCTGAGTATTCGGGTAACCTCAGAGATCAACCCTCTGGCTTCTACATCGGGAATACTGAGATCTAGAGATTTAACCTGCTTAGCTAAAAGGAACTAAGATGTAAACAAAACCAAAAAAGACACATGGACAAGAACTCTGCTGATCAAGTTCACTAATGATTACTTATATTTTAGTTTCCAACCACTTGTCCTGCAGCGGACGCAGAGATGGACACTCGCATACCCAGAGGCACGACTGTTCAACTTGTAGGCGAGAAGACGGAAGAGCACAGAGAACATTTGGCCATCTATTTAACAGGAAGGTGACTCTTGAATGAGAGGAAAAGACGTTTGGGTCCAAAAGGAACAGCGAGTGTCTGTCGACAGCGTTTTGGGACTCGACCGCTCAGCACAGACAGCTTCTGTGATCACTAAACCGGGGGAGACTAGAGAACTGTTCTAACCAAGAGTGGCCTGAGAGCGGAGGGAGAATGGAGCGGGGAGAGAGCCGATGTGCAAAGACAGAGGTAAGAAAAACTGCAACAACTTCAAAATACAACACAACAAAAACAGGCCAACGATTTCAGTTACTTCAGTCAGCGGGGAACAGGCTCAACAGAGACTTAAAGCTCACCGTCGTCGGGCCCCAACCTGGGACTTTTGGAAATGTGTGTAGGGCGGGAGGTGGGCATGGGCTACACAATTACATTGTGGCTCCAGACTCAAAAGGAACCTCAAACCGGGGTGCCGGCATCCCAGCCCCAGCCACCTCCGCTGGCCGCCCCCGCTGCAGAGGCCTCCAGCCCCCAAGCCCCGCCTCCAGCTCCGCGCCTGCGCACTGCCCCAGCCCCGCCCCGCCCGGCCCCGCCCCAGTCCCGGCGGCCACTGGAGAGGAGCTTGGGGAGGACGGTGGCCCGCGAGGCTCGAGCAGACAACGCGGCGGCGATGTCCGCGAGCCAGGCGAGCGCCGCGGCGGTAGCGGCGGGGCCTCGCGCGTGGCTGGGCGGCCTGGGCTGCGGCCTCCCCGCGGGTCCCTGGAAGCGGGCGCACGGAGGGCGCGGGAGCAGTGGCGGAGGCCCCGGCGCGTCCTTCTGCCCCGCAGCCTGAGCCCGGGCGGCTGGAGGGCTTCGGCTGCCCGAGGATGGGAATTCTCTTCACCCGGATCTGGAGGCTGTTCAATCACCAGGGTGAGCCTGGGCCGGGCGGGGTGGTCCCCGGCGGCTCGCCTTTGTCTCCCTCCCGCCGTACACCCATTGCTCCGATTTGATCACGAGCGCCAAAGGTGTCCTGCCCCACGCCGGGGACCTAAGCACACGACCCGGCCTGCCTCCCTCCCCGACGCCTGCCCGCAGTTGGGTTTGGGCCGCACTGGGAGAAGATGGGGTTCTAGGGTGAAGGCTGGGGGCGCTGGCCTTGGGCCTGGCGGCGCCACCGTGCCCACGGGTTGCAGAATGCGGAAAACTGGAACTCGTGCTCGGACTGTCCGGTTCGCTTCGGGCGACTCTCTTGGGGGGAGGGGAGGGGGGGACCCACGCCGCGGAACGGTGCTGGGTGGCTCTCCTTTGCCCCAGTTGTTTCTGTGGTAAAGGTCAAGCCTAAGGTCGTTTTCGTTCTTGGGTTGTTAGAGGTGGGTTTGTTTTGGCTTTGGTTTTTTTTTGGGGGGGGGGCGCCTAGTGTTTTCTCTGAAAGCTTTTAAAATGACACCTCAGGAGACGTTCGTTAGCATTAGGTAACTAGCAAGTTACTGTTTTAAGTTCGCCTAAACGCAGACATTGAGGCGGAATGCATAGGGGATTTATTTTTAAAAATATTCACAAGATGAGTGTGTGAAACTGGAGAGAATACAGTTCTAACAACTACATAGCTACTAAAACGAAACGTAGTGCTTTTTAAAAGAAAAACTCTAGTTGCAATTCATTCCTTCTCAACAACATACTGTTTTTCTCTTGTATAAGCTGGTAGCGTTGTTGCTCCCCCACCCCCCAGCCCGACTTTTTCCAGTTAAAACTTAATGAACGATGGTGCCTACTCTTTAGACCTGCCTGCTTCTCCTCCAGGATACAGCTGGCTTTATAGGAAGACAAGCACTGGGCCTTAGAATCTCCAGTGGGTTCTGCCTTTTTAATAATAATTTTAAAAAAATGATAGTTTAGATAACGGTACGAAATGAAGTGGAAGGATATTCCCATCAGCGCCGGTCAGCAGTGTGTGCGGATGTGTGTGGGGTTGTCAGTTCCTGTGGCTTCACAATTCTGTGGGTCTAGATAGTCTCACCTAGAACAGGAGAAATTTGAGGAGCCGACAGTTTTTGACTATTTAATCTCTAGGTTTGAAGTACTGAAGGTCACATTGTTGCAAAACTGGGGATGTTTTTGTTTGTGTCTAATTCTTTCCTCTATAGTCTTGAATCTCGTGAAGCGGGGGTTTCAGTTCTGCTGTGAGGGTTCGGAAAATGTTATGGGTCAAAGGGTCTCTGGTATTGTCTTCATGTT